TCTTCTGAAGAGATTGCATCTCCTCCTCCATAGCATTCCTCCACCTAATAGAATCAGGGCTAGACTCTACCTCACTAAATGTGGTAGGAACCAAATCATCAACGACCTCCACTGATAAATCATATGCCACCATAACATCATCATACCTAGCTGGCCGACGAATCACTCTCCTCGATCTATCTGCTACAATTGATCCCTGAGCATGACCCTGCTCCTAGGCCACCATCCACTGTATCCTCTAAATGCCCGACTGTCATCTCATCTCCTCCCAGTATCACCTTTGTAGGAGCCTCAATGGACACAGTGCTGTCTGGAGTGGGTGGAGTCACATCATCCTCCACCTACTATGATATCCCTCCTGTCTGATCTTCCTCCACTTGCCGAGGAACTCGAGGCTTCATCATGTACGCCTCATCAAATGTGACATCTTTACTAATGACCATCTTATTATCTTGTGGATCCCATAATTTAAAGCATTTGACACCTTCTCTAAATCTCACAAAGACGGCCTTCCTCGCTCTCGGATTCAACTTTTCATCACTGATATGGAAATAAGCTGGACACCCAAATATCCGAAGAGTCTCATAGTCACTAGCCACATAACCATACCAACGCTCCATACGAGTCTTCCCCTGTATCATAGTGCACGACAACCTGTTAACAAGATGGCTCGTATAAACCAACGCCTCGGCCCAAAAGGATCTAGGCAATCCACTCTACGTCATCATACATTGCACCTTCTCCAGCAAGGTACAGTTCAATCTCTCAGCCACCCCGTTTTGTTGCGGTGTCTCTCTAACTGTGAAGTGTCTTCTAATACCGTGATCTCAACAAAACTGTAGAAATGGATCACTCTTATATTCTCCACCATTATCTGAACGAAGAGTCTTTACCTTTCTACCTGTCAGTAGTTCTACTTTCTTCTTCTACTCCACAAATATATCCAGGACCTTATGTTTATGCTTTATTGTATATACCAAATTCCTCCTAGAATAATCATCAATGAAAGTAACAAAATAGTTTGCCCCACCAAGCGATGTGTGCTTGGAAGAGCCCCAAACATCTGTGTGAATATAATTCAATATACCTTGGGTGTTGTGAATAGTGATGTCGAACTTCACTTTAGTCTTCCTCCCAAGTATGCAATGCTCACACAACTCCATCTTACAGGTCTTCGCACCTTTCAATAGCCCATGTTTTGCCAATAACTATAGAGACTTATCACATGTGTGTCTAAGCCTCATGTGCCATAGTGTGGTAGTGTCCTCCTCTGTGGTGATAGAAGCAGCCAGACCCCCTGTAACTGTCTTGCCCTTCAAATAGTATAGGTTGTTTTCCCTGACACCTCGCATCACCACCATGGACCCCTTCATGACCTTCAATGTAGCATCCTCTAAGATCACTCTATAACTAGCTGCCTCCAAAGTCCCAAGAGAAATGATGTTAAACCAATCCCTCTTAGGGTAAATGTAAAATGTAGCTCCTAAATCTAACATCCACTCCGTAGAGTCAGCATAATAAACTGACGGCAGTGCAGGACAAGAATAACCGGAAGAATCCGAATCTGAAGTGTCGCCAATAACTTTAGCAACATTCACCTCTGAAGCTTGTACAGATTTCCCCTTTGCTTCCTGGCTCTATCCTTCAACTTTGGGCACTCATTCTTCCAATGTCCCTATTCTTTGCAAAAGGCACATTGATTTCTACCAACACTCTTATGACCACCCATATTCTTAGATTTTGAGCGATTGAATCTTTGGCGGTTTGGACTACGGCCACGAACTGCTAATGCATCACCCGATGCTTTCTCGGAGGGCTCACCATCATTCTTCCTCAGCTCATAATTTACTAACACCGAGGTCACCTCATTGTAGCTAATTGTAGTTCGTCTATTTATCATAGTGAAAACAAATATACCAAAATCATCCTCTAGCAATGAACATAATAGTAACATCGTCTTGTCTTCATCCTCCACCATGATATCTACATTGGCCATATTCGAAACCAGCTTCGTGAAGTTGTTAACATGTTCCCAAATGGAAACTCCCCTCTTCATCTTGAATTGGTAGAACATTTTCTTCAAGTGAAGCCAATTCTCAATACTCTTCGTCAAATATTTTTCATTGAGCGTTTCCCACAATTTCTTCGTCGACGTCTTGTTCATCACATCATAAATTAGATCCGGCGTTAAGCATGACCGAATAACCCCACAAGCCCTACTATTTATTTTCTTCCAAACCTTGTCCTCCACATCATTAGGTTTCTCTTGTAGCTCAAGAGTCTCCTCTAAATTTTGTGTATCTAAGGTGTCCATTACTTGACACCTCCACAAGCTGAAATTGATCTTGTCATCGAATTTAGGAACATCAATCTTAGTATTATTGATGCTCAAACTTTGAATCGCCTTCGTCAAAACCGACCCCGACGTGCTTGTTTCACCCATATTGTAGATCTACCTCTCCAAACAAGAATCCAACAGCGAATCCTTTGAACAAACTCCCAAATCCAACCCGAAGCTCTGATACCACTTGTTGTGTGTCGGGAAGCCGATTCTACAAGTCAATAGCATACACAAGAACCAATAATAGACCACAATAGCACAAAAAACACCCAATCACAGCAAGAACACAAGATATACGTGGTTCGACAAATTGCCTACGTCCACGGGGCAAGGAGGGGGGAGTATTACTATTAGAAATCAAGGGGAATACAATTAGGGTTATAAATCTTACCAAAAACCCACAAATAAGCCCTCTTAATCTCTCCAAATGGCTCCAATAATAGAAGCCCCAAATCTTCTCTTTCAGCTGCTCAAAACCCTCTCCCTTAAACCCTAAAAATGAGTTAAGGGTATATATACAACTCCCAAATGAAACGGGTCTGGAAAACAAACCCAGCCCAAAACCGCTTCGGCGGTCGCAACTCTAGAGACTTTCCCAAATCTCTGGACCCATCGCGGTCGACCGCCTCAACTGCAAAAACTTCTACAGTTTCTGGACACAGGCGCTAATAAAGTTGCAATGTTGTAAATTACACTTGATAATTCTCCAAAATCCTGGGGGTTCATATCCCGTCAAATTAATATAAAATCTTCCTAAAACAGCAATAACCCACCTTTGACTTATATTCCTGCAAATCTTTATAAAATTGAACCAAAAAAATTTTTAAAAAAAGAAAAAAAAAATTAAAATTTTTACCTAATTTAGATTACTATTTGAAGAGAGGTATCTAGAGCTCTCGTAACCAGGGCGTTGACCGGAGGGAGAAGGAGAGATCGAACGGCTGAGATGAGAGGTTCTTGTAATCGGACGGCGTGGAAACAGCGATCCTCGACGGAGAAGAGTACGATTTGTATCTGTAATCCATCAAAAACTATGATTTTTTCCCATCGATTCGAAAGGGGAAAGTTTTTGGGGAAGAAATCATTGAGGTCGAAAATGAGCCAACGATAGAGGAGATTGACTAACCCTAGATCTGTTGGGGAGGGGACTACTACGAGCTCTAGCGAGGGGCTGACTCCGGCAACAGGCGGAGACAAGCGCGGTTCTTCTCACTTGAGTTCGGGCGCGCTTCCGGCGGTGGTTGCGCGATTCGCCGGGGTGATGGGAAGAATATTCTGAGGGGAACGAGAATAGGGCAAAGGAATGGAGTTGGGGGAAAGAAGTGAGGAGAGAGAAACGGTGTTGGGGTAGAAGGATGAATGGGTTTTTTCTTGCTGACGTGGCTGCATCCACGTGGGCCTGCGCGATGCTCTTGCGCGTTAAGCTGCGAACCAAATAGCATTACTGTTATGCATAATATTAAATGCATGATACATTTGAGAATCTTGCTATTTGGCTCGCGCGAGAACGCGTGAGAGGGGGTAGGGAGTGGGACCCAAAGGAACTTTTCCTAAATTTGATATTTTTGAGTTGTTTGACATCTTTGAGTTAACTTAAAGAGCAATGCTACATAGGCCCCAAATAAGAGGATCCAAGGGGGGACACGTGAGGTGTCTCCCCTTGGGTGCATGATACAAGGGGATAAGTGAGGTGTCCCCCATTGGATGCATGATACACCGTTCATGAACAGTGCATCATGCACCCAAGAGGGACACCTCACCTGCCCCCTTGGTCCCCTCGTTTGGGGTCCCTGAAAACTTTTCCTTAATGACCTGTTTGGATGGAGGGTAGAGAGGGAGAAGGGAAGAAAATTTTTATTTTAACCTTGTTTAGGAGTTTTATTTTGGAGGGTAGAGGAGAAGAATAGAGAAAAAATTTGGTCCAAATTCTTACACCCCAAATTGGGGTGTAATAGAAGGGAAGGGAAGGAAGGGGAATTTCCCCCCTTTCTTCCCCTTTCTTCCCTTCCCTAAGGGCGTGTTTGAATTTCAATGAGGTTAAGGGAAGTTAAGGGCTTGTTTGGATTGAGGGAAATAAGGGTGAAGGGAAGTTAGGAGAACCATTCACCTCCATTCACCTTGTTTAGGAACATTTAGGAGGTGAAGTTATTCACCCTAGTTTTCCTTGGTTCACCCCCTAATAGTATAAAATTTGTTACCCCCCAAATTAGGGTGTAACCAAGGGGAAGGGAACTCCCTTCCCTTCCTTTCCATTCTCTCACCTAGTTTCCCTTAACTTCCCTTCACCCCTACAAATCCAGACATGCTCTAAGGGAAACTAGGTGAGAGAAGAAAATAAAAGGAAATAGAGTTTCATTCCCCTTGGTTACATCCCAATTGGGGGTAACAAATTTTATACTATTAAGGGGTGAACTAAGAGGAACTAGGATGAATAACTTTACCAACTAAGTATTCTCAAACAAGATGAATGGTTCCCCTAACTTCCCTTATTCCCCTCAATCCAAACAAGCCCTAATTATAAACTCCCAAACACACCATAACTTAAACTGCCCCAGTGCGTCCCACAATCATAATTCCAAAATTCCCCAAATCTCAAAAACCCTCTCCAAAACCCTTAAAAAAAACCCTTCAAATGGCGCCCAAGGCCGAGAAGAGGCCCGCGGAGAAAAAGCCCGCCGTCGCCGTCGATGCCGACGAGGAGCCCAAGGCGGAGAAAGCCCCCGCCGGCAAGAAGCCGAAGGCGGAGAATTATAGTTTGTATCTATTCATTATTGTATCTGTTTACCAAACTTTATAGCAGATTAGCGCAGGTTCTGGGTTTAATAATTGATCAGCTGGGGTTTAGAAGAATGGGTTTAAAATCTGAAAACCAAAAAGAAAATAAAACTCTTCATCTGTCTCCACTCTCCAATTTTGTGGATTTATTGGTTTGTTTCATTTTTTATTTTAATTTTTTAGGGCCTTTGACAAGTTCAGATTTGTCTAATTCTGGTAATGGACCTCACCTCAGAGTTGCTTATCAGGTATGGAACTTTAACAATTTTGATTAGCGCATTGTTAAGCAATTAGTCATTTGTTAGCTCTTTTTAATATATTTTTTTCTGTTGATTTTGGGATTTTTAGGGTCTTCCTGGTGCTTATAGTGAATCTGCAGCAGCAAAGGCGTACCCGAACTGTGAGGCGGTTCCCTGCGAACAGTTTGAAAGTGCCTTCGATGTGAGTTTTGTCCTTTTTTCCCCGCGTTTATTGTATCTAAAGTTAGTAAAATTAGTGGTAATAAATTTGTTACTGATTAAACGTATTGTTTCTCTTAGACTAACACTTGTTGTGTAAAGCATGTGCATGCTTTGCTAGACTCAAGTTCGTTTATCTATATAAATGAAATGGTTAATTCTTATTACCCCATAACTTCAGAATTGGGTAAGTTTTTTTTACCCTCAGGGTGTCTATCTGCAAAATAAATTCCTTTCTCTCAATACCCGTTCTTATATTCCGAACATCGTAACAATAATATATAGTTAGGAAACTGAACTTTTATACATTCATTATCGTTCACCAAATTATCATTCTCCCAAAACTCACATTATCTTTCCTCCAAGACTGCTATGCTGGGAATTCATTCATCAGATCCATATTTCACCACATTAAAAAATCAACACAAAGAGATTCAAAAGAAATCCCAATCACCTTTATACATAATTCAAAACTTTGTTTTATCCTTGATCCAATTGGAAAGAGTCATGAATTATGAAATAATTATGAACTTTATTCTTTTGGTTGTCTGTTAAATCAGATATCTCCATTTTCAAATTGTGTGCATTAAAAGCCGCTTTGTTGTCAGCTTCAACATGCCTGATCTACAACATTCAATTTGTTCAACTAGGTTATTTCCTCCATTCTTGGAGGATAAGTCCTCTTAACTTCTAGCAGCATGCGGTGGATTGAGAGGAAAATGAGAAAATCAGTAACAACATTTGCTATAATAATAAATAAGGAAAGTAACAAAAAAAAAAGATCTTGGTGCATGAGGTTGGTGGTGGTTTTTTTTTTTTTTTTGGTTTTTTGTTTGCGGGAGGTGGGGATTGTTTTTTTCTGTTGTGTGGTGTGGTGGTGGTGGTGGGGTGTGTGGTGTGTGGTGTGGTGGGGGGGGGGGGGGGGGGTTGTACTAGAGCCATAGTGAAAATTGGATTCAATATGAGCATAAATTGCTGTCTAAACCATCTATTGGATATGGTTATGGACCCAAGATTATTAGTTGTCATTGATTATTAAGCAAACATATTATTTTCTTGTTACAACCTTGATTATAATTTGATCAATAAGATCACATGCGTTATCACACGGTGCAGGTTATTTTTTCCTCTCTTTTCATTTTTTGTGTTTGTGTAAAAGTTTAAAAGTTTATTCCTATGCTGAGTGCAGGCTGTTGAACGTTGGCTTGTTGATCGTGCAGTGCTTCCAATAGAAAATTCATTAGGTGGTAGCATACATCGCAATTATGACCTTTTACTTCGCCATAAATTACATATTGTTGGTGAAGTGAAATATGCAGTACGACATTGTTTACTAGCCAACCATGGTGTGAAATTACAAGACCTGAAAAGAGTTCTCAGTCATCCACAAGTATATTTTAATCACACTATATTATTTGTTTAAGTTGAAAATACTTCAGTTTTTAAGCATTGCTTCTTTCTTAATGCTAAATTTTCAGGCTCTTGCCCAGTGTGAGCACACACTAACGAAGTTGGGAGTTGTTAGAGAAGCTGTTGATGATACAGCAGGTGCAGCACAAGTAAGATTCTAAAATTTAGTGCTATGATACACTCCTCTTTTGTCCCTATATGGAGAAACATGCAAACGGAAGGAGGAAAAAACAAACAAACAAAACAAAACAAAAGAAAACACACATCGGCTATCATCTGCTTTCTTATTAATGTGACTATGTCTTGGCATTCTCTGGTTGTTTGATTAATGCATGAAATAATTATTGTGTCAATAGATATGCAATCTCTTCCTGTCTTCCAATTGATGCCTCATGCTGCTTATAGTGCACCTCTCTGCATATTAATATACCTAACATGTGTCCTGTGTAGTTTGTGGCTTCCAATAAGCTTCAAGATGCAGGGGCAGTTGCAAGTGCATTAGCCGCTGAGATCTATGATCTGAATATTCTTGCTGAGGATATTCAGGTATATCTAGTTTCTTAGTCACTTGGTGGTAATTACTTGCATCATTACCTGAATACTTCACTCCCTTCTTCAGGATGATACTGATAATGTCACTCGCTTCTTAATGCTTGCACGAGAACCCATTATTCCATCCCTTCTTCAGGATGATACTGATAATGTCACTCGCTTCTTAATGCTTGCACGAGAACCCATTATTCCAGGCATTGATAGAACGTTCAAGGTAAATTTAGCTGTACATTACATAATAAATCAAAGGCTATTTTGCTGAAAACAGCAAGCTTATCGTTGGTTCATTTCAGACAAGCATAGTTTTCTCCTTAGAAGAAGGTTTTGCTGAAAACAGCAAGCTTATCGTTGGTTCATTTCAGACAAGCATAGTTTTCTCCTTAGAAGAAGGTCCTGCTGTTCTTTTCAAGGCACTTGCCGTTTTTGCCATGAGAGAGATCAACCTCACAAAGGTATATTTCAGTAGCTTTTGACATTGTATATGATAATGTGTTATTTTTTGGTAGATGGGGTGGCTTAACAATTTTGCTTAACCACTTTGTTTGTTTGTTTGTTTTTTCTTTACCATAGATTGAAAGTCGACCTCGGAGTAAAAAGCCCTTCCGTATAGCTGACGAAGGAGTCATTGGGCCTCTAAAGTAACTTTGATACCCGACACTAGTATTATATGCATGCCGTGTATATGAGATAACCTCAATATGTCTACTATATATCAACTGTTCTCGTTGGTCTGACATCATTTGTATATTCATATCGACTAGGTACTTTGATTATCTCTTCTATGTTGATTTTGAAGCATCAATGGCTTCACAAAATGCTCAGAATGCCCTTAGGCACCTTAAGGTATTTTTTGTTTTCGAGAAACCAGAAGGCTAATGAGGATTGCAATGGCTAAGGTTTGTTTTTCCCCTTCTTTTGACAGGAATTTGCAACATTCTTGAGAGTTCTAGGCAGCTATCCAATGGATATAAGCCACACATGAAGATATTTGCAGGCATATCAAAGCAGTGGGACCTACTGTTGATCGAGTATGTCAGTTGTCTATTGGTTGTTTAGGTTTACATGAGAGTGCATTTCCTGGGACTGTACTAAATAGATTTGACACCCCCCCCCCCCAAAAAAAAAAAAAAAAACCCAGCCCCACACTCCAAAAAAAAAACACACATCCAGTGTCTGGCTACTTTATCATGTCAGCTTATGACATGTATGCATATTAGTGCTATAACGTGTTACTGAAAGCTGGTTCTGAGACGTAAACTGGAGAACCAATGCCTATCTTTTCGTGTTATATGTCCACATCATCTGTTCTTAACTGCTCCACCAGCATATTTGTTTGTTCATCTTTCTTAACTTAATTTGGTTTGGAATATTGTTCAACCTTGAGAGTGAGATACGTCTATACTATTTATAACTTGGCGAAGGCAGACGGTTTCATGTGACTATACTGTCATATCCTTGATATGCTGGATGTACGCTACCTAGTCAATATTTTGGAACATGAATGTATCTGATTGTCAAAAGACATGCAAGGACCAATATTTCATTGAAAAGTTGAATCAATATCAAGTTTTCTAGAAAGATAGTTTTTACAATTTTCATTGATTCTCTTAAATTATTGTTGTTCTGATGTACGGACTGTATGGTTCAAGGCAACATGATATCCTAACTGAAGTGAGACACATTCTTTTTTGTTGCATATTCTTTGCAGATTCTAAGGAAATACGCTCTCTACTGCAGATGAGCGGAATATTAGCGTTTTTAAGAAGCCCCCCAACCCCCCCCACCCCCCCGAAAAAAGGAAAAAAAAGAACCATGAACCATGTGGGAGTTCTCCTTAGTGGGATATCTGACAGGTTCAGTTTTTTCATTCCTGCAAGAAATCGACAAAGTGACTTCGTTTGAATTTCAGTTTAAACACGAACATATGAAAATTCCCGCTTGAATAACTTGGACTGTTGAGCAGATAAAATTTCTGAGATATTTGACAATATGAATGATTAAACATTTGACAAGCTTGTTAAAATTTGTAGTGTGAGCATGTTCAAATTTGCATTCAGATACAAATTTGACACAAACGTTCCTGTAAATTGAGTTGAGTTGCAATCCTGAAAAACTTGCTAGGTTATTTGGCAGTTTTAATAATTTTTAATGTCAATACTATCTTATTGCACGGCATGTTTACCTTCAATAAAAACCAAGCTCATTATAATTTATTGTGGTTAAAGCATATCCATCTATTAATTGCTTCTTGTAGTTTTACTTTTATTTTGCTTGCAGAGAATGAAGATGGAAAGAGCTGCATGCAATTGTTAAGAAAAGGATATGTTACGACATTTGAAATTTTGAATGGATCATATAGTTAGGTCAGAGCAGCAGAGGGATGTCAATTATCCAGAATCATCATAATCTTTGGTTTGGAATTTTGACTTTTTTGCTTCTAAAATGTACAGCACCTTTGCAGAATGAAAAAGGAATGATCCTTTTTTTTTTCAGTATAACGTGTTCGAAGAAAAAAAAAACTGGGGCGTTGTACTTATGTCATCGTGCATGCTCTAATGTTATGCGTATGAGTCGCCAAACCTGGTAGTATATGAGTTTCTGGAGATGTTGAAATCTCAATGGTTCTATACTTCTATGCAATCTTTATACTAGGTGGATATTTTCGAGAGAGTTTAGCCTTTATTCTTGAACACGGATGGAGTTCTCCCTATTTATGGTCGCTCGATGTCAGGTTGTTGATTCTCTTTTTAGACGTATGCCTCTGGATGACTGAATCTTAGTGCTTTAAGTTCTGCAATGTAGCCAAAGTGAAGACTTGTTTTGATAGTATATTTGAACTCGTTCATTTTGGTTGCTAAATCTGGAAAAAGTTCGGCATAAATGCATAAGTTGCACAACTGATCTACTATGAGGCGCTTTACTGTTTGTGTGATTATTAGCCAAGTGATCCGAGTAACCATCGCCTCAGAACGACCCGCATGCTTATTGGCCAAGTGATCCGAGTAACCATCGCCTCAGAACGACTTGCACGCTAGCGGGTTGTTTGAGCCGTATATGGACTTGATGGGGGGCAATTTTGTCATTTCAGCCCCCATGTGCAGCTCAGACAACCTGCTCGCATGCGCGTCGTTCTGAGATGATGTGTGTTGAACTGATCTCACCCTGCAAAATAACCCCAAAGTGCGACACTTATGGTAACTGTTAAATTGTAATATCTCTGTGCAGTATAAAGTTCTATTAACCCTCTTCTTGTAAGTGCTACGGTATATCTTAGTCATAAAGGTAATTGCAAGTTGTAACTCATAAAGATAATTGTAAATGAATACTCAATGTAAGAGAAGTTGGAAGATTTCAAATTAAGTTTTGGGTTTTCTGATGTCTCCCTCCGAGGTCTACATTTTAAAAATTAGTCCTCAATAATAGGCCTTGGCCTGTTGTTGTTTTGCTCCCGTTTTCGCTTTTCACAAGAATGTTATGTTACCTTGTTTAAGATAAAAAGGTTTGATCTCATTTCTTGGGTTGAAAATTTGGACATTAACAATAGGGTTTTTTCCCTTGAAAACCATGTTAAGAAATAAGTCAAATCGATAGCCTTTCATTTTTTAACACAGAAATCACATTATAAGTTGGTTTAGCTTTCAATCAACCATTTTGGAGTAATTTATATTCAACTTTTATCTGAAATGCCCAACATCTCCCTTCTCCTTCCTCACCTACCCTAACTAATATGTACATGTCTTAGGACCTATTATTCATTGTGGGAAAAAATTTACATTCTAGCTTTTTATATAAATATTTTATTCAATCTGTTCAAGAAAAAATTGACTTGCAATTCTTTTTTTAACTGAAACCATTGCTACGTTTTTGCCTCAAGAAAATCGCTACCCCTGCAACATCATACTTCCTTCTGGCGCCAGGTAAAACACCGATTAAACTACCACCCACGTTCCATGACTCGCTCAAGCCCTGTCACGCATCCTAAAACACGTGAACGGCCAGATCTAGATCCACATCATCGATCCGCACCCTTCCTCTTCACCCAATTTGTAAAGCCCCGAAAATTTAAAAATTTATTTTAAATGATAATAAATGAGTTTTATCATGGTTGGTGATCATTCTGGGATGAATGGATCTGATTATAATCGATTTGAGATCGTTTACATGGATATATAATTGATTAACTTGTACTTGAAGAATTGATTAACTTTTATTATTTAAAAAATATTACAGAGAATAATATCATCAAGGTATGGTTCAACATTCTCCGTATCATAGAAATAAAATTGAATGTATGAAGAATTATTTTCTTACGTAATTAGAGCAGATAGATTATGATATATTTTCTTATGTGTTATAAATAGGACAAATTTTGAAAACATACCCTTTTACAAAAATATTCCCAAAAAAAAGACCCGTTTCCACTTTATTTTCAAAAAACGACCTAGTTTCAGCCTCAGGGCTGAAACTGGGTCGGTTTTTGGGAAAAAAGTTCTCAAACTTCACGGGAGTGGTTGAATATTATGAGATAAGATACACGTGTAATGCACGTAGTTGAATATCATAATTATTTAAATTGATAAAAAAAATAAAAATTAAAGCTTGTTGTGGGATTGATAGAAGTAAAACTTCAATAAACTTTTACAAAACCAAAGTAAAACTGCAAATTACAAACACCTTAAAAATATTACACAGAAGCAGTTGACGAGCAACACCCTTGAAGAATTGATTAACTTTTATTCTTTGATAAATATTACAGAGAATAATATCATCAAGGTATGGTTCAACATTCTCCGTATCATAGAAATAAAATTGAATGTATGAAGAATTATTTTCTTGTGAAATTAGAGTAAAGAGATTATGATATATTTCCCTATGTGTTATAAATATAAAAATTCCTTTTTTCTTTGATGCAAGGTCCCTATCATATCTTGCTCCCAATGTGTTATAAAATTGAATATATATAGGTTCGCTTGGTTGGTTTCCTAAAAACCAAGAATAGGAAATTAGATATTGGAAATCAATAAAATATTGTTTTCATCCATTTTCATCCCTAAAACTCACCCACATCATCCAATAAAATATTATTTTCATCCAACAACTCATCTCATTTCTTATTTTTAAAAATAAACCAAACACAAGAAATGGGTCACATCATCCAACTCATCTCATCTCATTTCCTCTCATCTCATCTCATCTTTAAAAATCACCCACATCATCTAATAATATGGTGACAACTCATCTCATCTCATTAAAAAAAATTCCATCCATTTCCTAAAAAAACAAGGAAATTGATTTCCTTAAGTATATGTCACATCATCAAATAATATAATGACAATTCATCTCATCTCATCTATTTTCTTAGTTTAAGAATGAACCAAACACAAGAAAAAACCTATTATAGGAAATAGGTTTCTTACAATTTATTTCTTTATTTTTTTATCCAACTAAACAACCTCAAATTATTTTTTATAAATTCTTTCTTAAAAAATCACCCACATCATCCAATAATATTGTGACAACTCATCTGTTCTCATCTCATTTTATTTTTAACAAGTGAATCAAACACAAGAAAAGAACCTATTATAGGAAATATGTTTTCTTATCTTTGATTTCCATGTTTTTTTAGCCAACCGAACAGCCCCATATATGAGATTAATGAGTATCCTTGTCAATGAGGAGATTCCCTCATTGACAATGATGTGGCACAATCCCTATTGTAGGGATTTCTCTCTCCTACTTTATTCCCACCATGGAGATTGTGCCACATCATTGTCAAGGAGGGAAATCCCCTCCTTAACAATGATACACATTAATCTCTCTCTCTCTCTCTCTCTATATATATATATATATATATATATATATATATA